TACCAAAATATAATTGATGTAATGAAATGAAATGACAATGGATGTCATTAACTCACTACATGTACCGATAAAAAAAGGCCCATTACTTCTAACAATAAAAGAGAGGAAAGGATGTGTGTTGTGTTGGTGGAAAAGGAAAGCATATTCCTTGATTACGCTTTCTAATTTTTTTTTGTATCACCAAAAACGGAATTATTAATTCTGTTTTTATTGTTAAAAACGGATTTGTCGATTCCGTTTTCAAAAAATATCGTAGATTGGTAAATAAGTTCAAAACTGTCGTATATCGGTAAATATGTTTGAAAAAAGCTGTATTTTGGTAATAGACTCCCTCTCCCAATCACCGCTAAAGACCAGAAGATCGTCCGTATACTCTTTATCTAAGTTTGGGAGGTGAGTCACAAGGTACATGAAGGGATCTCGGGCTTTTCAAGTAGAAGTTTTGTTGGGGCATCACCCTCAACAAGGTGTAGCAGAAAATGATGTCCTCGAGGCCAAGGTTGACCTCGAGGCATTCGTTTAGGACCACCACTCTCATGATGATCCTAAATATATTGAGGAAACACTGCCTTGGGAAAAGTTGAAATCGGGATAGGAAACTGTGGAGGAGTGGGTGGAGGGGGAATTTCATTCCACCCTCCGTGAAGGCTTTGGTATAAAAGGGCATGACATCCTTAGTGTCGATGTCGATATGGGGACATCTAGGGATGAACTCGTACACGCCGACACTACGGGGAATGGAATAGTGGGTTCTGAAGTTGGTAATTTGTTGGCGGCCTTTGACAGTGTACTTCTTCGACCTAGAGAGGCCAGCCTTCTCGACCTCGGTGGTAGTACGACGGCGTCTTAGCATTTCAAATGAGGGAAAAGGGACACAGAGGGGGAGTTTTTTTAAGGTTGGGCATCTTAAGGGACACACAGAGGACCCAATGACTCAATAAAACGAAGGACAACACCAGAATGGACAAGAGAAGAGAAGGATGACTACCAAAAAAGAAAAGAAAGTAAGGAAGACAAAGAAGAGAGAGAGAGAAAGGACGAGACAGTGTACTCACCACAATCAGAGGGTGCAGGTAAGGTGGTTCATGGCTTTCTTCTTTGACAATTCCTGAAGGAGATGGCAATTAGTTTAGGCAAAACAGTGGTTCTCCGATGAAAAATCCAATGGAAAAGCGTTAGACTTCTAAAAGTTGTAGAAACTGGAAGAAAGAAGTAGGAGCCCTGTTTAAATAGGGACTTCTAACCCCATCATTGTACACAAGACACGAAGATGACACATTAAATGGGGCACGATCTCCAAAGAATGGAAAGCGGCTGCACGGTAATGGAGGGACTGAGCTCTTTCATCTTTTGTCACCATGTCACCCACGCAGTACAAAGATCAAGGGCTGGGGGGAAGTTAATAGGACGCTTTTGAGAACCTACTAAAGAATGACACGTGTCCTCAGTATCGAGATAACAAGGAAGCTAAGATGATGACACTTATCCTCAACACCGAGGAAACCAGGAACTCGGAGAGCTACCGCGTGTCCTCGGCATCGAGGAAACCAAGAGCTCGAGGTGCTGCCACTTGTCCTCGACACTGAGGTCACCAAGAGCTTTAGAATGTGACACTTGTCCTCAGCTCTGTTTGCTCCCCCAAGGGCTATTCATTGACACGTCACCTCGGCTCTAAGACCCCGAGACATGGATGGATAATTGACGGCTGTCACCAATTGAGATTAGAGCTGATCATTCATCATTGATTTACTTTCCCAAAGAAGTGAGAATGGCATAAATGACAAAACCAGCAACCAAAGGGAATTGGACACTTGACGTAAAATACAGAATTGGGGGTCAATGGACAAGAATGCCCTCGCTAGCACACAACCATCACAGAAGAGCATTCAACGATCCTTCAGGAGGATGAGACGTGTTTATCGTCCAAAGAGCATTGGTGGAAAGGCATTAAGTGCTCGGGAGTCCAAACATTTAATGTTGATTGACCTCCCATGAGGGACATGAGACGTTCTGCCCAAGTACTATTCACCCCCATCCGTTACCTCCCAGTTGGGCCAAATGGGACTTCTCCCTAGGGGGACCCACCTGCCAACAATGATGACTTCCATGAAAGATATAAATAGCTCTCACAATATGGAAATACGGGTACGCAAAAACTCATTCAGCAATACAACAGTGTCTTCACCCCTCTTACAGATACTAACTAGACCGTCTGGGGGCTTACGCTGAAAAATACTCCGGCGCCCTTCTAACTCTCTTTTTTGAGTGAAAAATTCCTTCTCGATTCGCCATAATTGCACGGACTACTTAAAAAGTAATTGATCGCCACTCCTCACGATCCTTCTCACTTCCATTGTCTCGGGATCCTTGACTTTCATGTAAATTTCATTGTGCAAAAATCACTGCACACAGTAATGGTTAGATCATATGATTTGTGCATATGGCTCAACAAATTTGCGTTTGGAGCGCAAATTCACAAATTCAAAGCGAATTTGTGAATTCAAAAAATTAAATTCGTGAATTAGACTACTTTTGGGGTTAACCACACAAATATTAAAAAATTTTAAACGAATAGGTTAAGCCTTGGACCAAGCAAGGCTATAAAAAAATTTAATGGACTTAGCCCCAAAATGGAGGCTCAATCTCCAAACACGAAAAGATAGAATAATGGTTAAGTCCATTGATAGGACTTGACGGGGCCGGCTGATCCCACTTCTCAAATTCATTTTAAAGAATACACAAGGCATTTTAATGCTTTAATTTTTTTCAAAAAAATATTCGTTATATTATTTGTTTTGTAGTTTTTAAAAGTCAAATTAATTACTAATATAATTTAAATAATATATCATATATTTATATATATAATTTAGCTTTTAAAAATATATTTTTAATAAATTTTATATATGTAAACATGTATATATGTATCTAGTATGAGGCTCTGAAGGTGTTTCCGTTCTCACAAATTTTTGAATTTTTATGTTTTTGGGCTCTCGCTCTCATTCTCACTCTTGCACCTGCACTATATGATCTAGTGTAATTAGGGATGGCAGTGAACCGAAGCGGGAGCAGGGATATAGTCTCTATCCTTGTACCCGCTTAAAAAAATTTTATTCATCCTCAGTCCACCCCCGTTAATGGATATAGTTTTCATATCCATCTTCGTTCGTGGGTAAATTTGTAATCCTCATTCCTGCCTTCACCACCTGCCCAAGCCCAAGCCTAGCATAATCCAATGTTGTAAATAACCCAAAAAATTGCATGTCACCAACTGAAAATTACCACATAATTCTTCTCATCAATAAGGACTTGCATTTAATTTACTGAGTAGGCAAGAAATCTATCCAGCACTTTTCAAGCAAAAAGTCTATTCAACAATATTCAAAGAGCAAAAATCATATTCAAGTAGAATAAAATCAAAAATCAGCAAAAATCATATCTAACACTATAATCAGAATTCAACAAAGACCATATTCAAGTAACATAAATTTAGAAAATTTAGAATATTGCATATTTAACACAGAAAATTAGATGTAGGACATGAAAATTGCAAATTTAACACAAAAAAAAAAAAAATCAAAACAAACAACATCTAAAAACCTTGTATCTAACACACTATAGATCCGAAACAAAAATCCTCAATAGCTAATACAACACAGACCCTTAGATCTAACAAAACTCATCACAAATCTAACAAAAAGGATCACAGATCTAACAAAGTCATAAAAAAGAACACAAAAATCATAGATCTTACCTTATTGGACAAAGAAAAAAAGGTGGGCCACTGATTTTGAAATTAACTTTATAGGGGGGGCGGGTTTATATGAGTATTTTCGTATACGTCCACCGTCCAATACATATGATCCATCCCTAGTCTAAACGTGACGGGTTTGAACGAATACCCATTTTTTTACGGTCCACTGTCATCCCTAAGTATAATGGACTAACGAGTCCCAGTTGACTTTATTATGGATAATTTTTAAAAATAAAATAAATATATGTTGGAAATTATCACACTCCAAATGCAACCCGTTTATATGATAGATCTTATTATACAATTAAGGATAATTTTGTGCCTGAAGATACGGTGCAACGTAAATGAGAAGTGATAGATTTTGAGAAAAATTCAATATGAATAGTTTTGAAATCGATGTTGATGATCATTTGATAAGTTTATTTGGAACTGTCAAATAAACTTATTAAATCTTGACTTATTTTATATTATGAATATAACAATCAAATACATTAATTAGAAGTTCCACCACCTAGATTTGTCAACCCTGTAAGATGTGGCAGCAATGTGCAGAATTTTAACAGTTTATTTCAAAAAAATATTTTTTTTATATTTAATTTTTTATTAATTTATATATAATAAATTGTGTACTATCGATTTCACATTATATATAAATTATTTATAATCGATATATAAAATAATTTATACACAATTTATTTATTAATTATATGGTTCTCGAATGACTTCAGAACATCACAACCTTTACTTTAGAATCCTATTTACGTCGCGTTAAGTGGTCGTATCTGACACCCTACCACCAGCAACATCTGGAAAAAGAAATAATCCAATCCAACGGCTGCCACCGTCCGATTTGCACATGTACGGTTGACCCAATCCTGTCCCTTATTTAGTCCTTCTCCACAGATTTCCCAATTTTCGCTCTCTTCGAACTACAAATGCTCTCTGCTAACATCGTTTTTCCCCTTGAAATCCCTAATCCAAAGGTCACTCTGGATCATCTCTAAGGTACTTCGAATGCTCAATCTCAGTCACACCCTTAATTCAGACATCTAGGGTTTGTTCTTTTCTCTCTTTTTTCTTGCTGTTCTTTTCTCTCTTCTTCTTTCTGATATTTTCCTTGTTTTTCGAAATATTCGTAGATTTTCATAAAATTTCTCTATTTGTCGAATCTTTTCTCTCACTTTATTCTAGTTTCTGCTAATCCTATTCTTTTTTTTTTGACTTTTCCTGGCTATTTAATTTTTTTTTTGTCATCAGCAATCTAGGGTTTGGCTAATTGGTTGCTTTTCGTTCTTAATAGGGTGTGATTGGGTTGGGTTTCTAGTTAGACAGACTTTATTGAGTTGGTTTTTTATTACTAATTTCTTCAATTTGGGTATTCTTAATTAATTGAACTTAATAGTGTTCGTTTCAAGATTTGTAGCAGTTTCTATCTTGGAATTTTTTCACTAGAGGGTCTTAATCTAGGATTAGGTTAATTTTTTTTTATGGCATTTGAATGCCAGGAAAACATAGCGGTTGGTTTGACAAAGAATCCGGTGAATACTGTACATAATTCTTGCAAAGAAGAAGTTGAGTTGAATCAGTTTAATTCCCCAAATACCCAAAAATATTTGACTTTTGATTCAAACACCGATACTAGGGTGTCTGGAGAACCAAAGACCATACTAGAAATTCATCCCAAAAGTGGTATTTCTGCTTCTTGTAGCGCAAAATCATTGCCATTGAATGAGGTTTTGTCTAATTATCGCCACACAATCACTGACCTTCCTCCGGCATTGATATCAGAGATACTTAATTGCCTTGACCCTAAGGAGCTTGGTGTCGTTTCCTGTGTGTCTGCATCTCTTTATAGGCTTGCTTCTGAACACCATGTTTGGAAGGAGTTTTATTGCGACAGATGGGGACATCCAATAGCCCCAGCACCTCAGGGGACGGAGTATTCGGATGAGAAGTCATGGAAGGAACTCTTTGTAGAGAGGGAGTTTCGGAGCAAAATCTTTATGGGCCGCTATGGTATTGATGTTCTTTATGGTCACACTGAAGCTGTTAGGACTGTTTTTCTTCTGTCTGCTAAGAAACTCGTATTTACCTCAGGGTATGATCAAATTGTTAGGATGTGGGAGATGGAAGAAGGGTTGTCAATTGCATCCTCTCGTCCCCTTGGTTGCACTATTCGTGCAGTTGCAGCAGATACCAGGCTCTTGGTAGCTGGGGGTACTGATGGATTTATACATGGTTGGAGGGCAGAGGAAGGGCATCCTTATTTGTTTGATCTTAGGGGTCCCCAGAACCAGAACAAAGAGTTCCGGCTTTGGGAACATGATGGGCCTATAACATGTCTTGCTTTGGACCTTACTAGAATTTACAGTGGTTCATGGGACATGACTGTGCGTGTTTGGGACCGTTCTTCATTGAAGTGCTTGAAAATCTTGATGCATAATGACTGGGTTTGGAGCCTTGCCCCTCATGATACTACAGTGGCAAGCACATCAGGATCAGATGTACATGTGTGGGACACTAATAGTGGGACTCAGATAGCCGTAATCAGTAATGCGCATGTGGGCAACACTAACTCTTTGGCTCGGAGCCACACTGGGAATCTCTTATTCACTGGGGGAGATGATGGGGCAGTACACATGTTTGAGATCACCAATCGTGCTGTGGGTCATGTTCGGCAGGTTGCAACATGGATTCCTCATTCCGGTCCTGTTTATTCTCTTGCATTTGAGTTCCCCTGGCTTGTTTCAGCTTCCAGTGATGGAAGGCTTTCACTTATTGATGTGAGAAAGCTGCTGAAGAAAAGTGGGTATTGTTCAATGGTAAAACCTTCGAGGGTTATCAACACAGACCAGAGGGATGTGGAGCCTCCACAGAGAATGCTACATGGGTTTGGGTGCAATTTATTTGCGGTGGATATTGGTTCTGATCGCATTGTATGTGCAGGCGAAGAAGGTGTTGTTAGAATTTGGAACTTCTCACAAGCTTTGGAGATAGAGCGAAGGGTGCGTGCTTTAAGAGGTATACGGTTAGAGAACAGGATGAGGAGGCGGAAGCTTCAAACAGAAATGACCAGCAAAGGTGGCCGAACTGATCAGTGTTCTGTTGCCGCAAAGAAGAATCAATTGAATGGTGATAGGAATGGCTGGCACCACAAGCGTGGGGTGAGTGGGAAGCTGAAGGCTTAGCTGTTGATCAGAACCTCCTGCTGTTTATGCATGCTATCGCTCTAGTACTCTTTGGCTGATCATGTAAGATATAAATAAATAATTTGTCGTTTAAACAATATAAATTTAGACAACTGTTACTTTCATTAATTTTCGGATCAGCAAGTTGTCTTGTGTTGGTTGCTCCCTGATGTATTTGTTTTACATTGTTGTGTCTGTGTTACTGCGTGACTGATCAGGGCATCTCATACTAAATATGAGTAGCAGGTCAATGTGGACTCAGAATGCTTCCATGAAATACCTGAGTTTAGTGGTCTACCTTTTTATATTTTGAGTTCTGTTTTGATTGAAAGTCCTTGTTATGACATTCTTTTTCTACAGGGAAAGCTATATTAATGTAATCGTTATAGTTGTGCTGGATTACTAATTAAATGCCAGTAGTAGTAGGTGATCTTGTGTGGCATGGTAATGGGGGCGTAGACAGGCATTGAATTACTCTTCTGATGCAGAACCTTTTTGCTTGTAACGCATCTGACAAATTGCATGTTTGTAAAAGCATTTTTTATTCTGTTTTTTGGTAACTTTTTTATAGGTTTGAACCTTTGAGATGAATTTTGAAAATGAGAAAATGATGTGGGGTGTGCTAGCTCAGAGAACTTAGCGGTTTGGGTTTTTGATCTAGCATATGGTTGTAGGTTGTCTTGCTAAGATTTACGAATCGAGCATTACTATGCTTATCAAATCATTTACCGAATTTAGAATACCAAACCGAGTGATTAGATCAGTGGGTTTTACTAAGTTCCATTAAAAATTTAATGCATAGGATTTTGCCACATCATTTGATATACAATATTTGGCAAATAAATTTGAGGAGCACAGATTTATCCTTAGGAACCACAGAATTCAGATAAAGTCAATGATGGACAAAATAATGTTGTAATGAATGGCCAGAGATTCTCTCAACAAGAAGGGTTTCGTGTGAGGTTGTAGATGGGGATATAACCTCTGAAGCACTTACTTATAGTTATAGTTGACCTTCTCTTGACCCGGAACTCTCGACCTTCTCTTGACCTGGAACTCTTGATTAGGGATGTAACTTGGGTGGGCTAATTCGAATTCAACCTGAGCTCAATCTGAAAAAACAGGACTTGGGTTAAAATTTTTAATACTTAGGTTAGACCTGCGCAAAAAAATTTCAAATCCGAATTAAATTTGGGCAAGCTTCGGATTAAGGTATCGGGTTGTCAGGTTCAACTCGAATATTAAAATCGGGTTGAACTTGAATATATATAAATATATTTAACTACGGTTAATATTTATCTTCACTCTTAAAAGTTCAAACTTTCACTTTATTTCAAGTCTTCACTTCTGCGCCTCTATCACTCTCAGATATCTCTCTTACTCATCACTCCTTCTCTCTTCATCTGTATCTCGCCCTTCATCTCAGATCACATGAAAAAATTAGATTTACATTTAAAAAAATTAAATCTACACTTCAAAAAATCAACCCGAATTAAGTAACTCAAGTTCAACCCAATTTTTAACTCGAAATCAGTCTGAATTAAGTAATTCGAATTCAACTTGAGTTCGCTTGAATTAAACTCAGATAATACTCGAGTTGAGGTAAGGTTAAGATTAATGTTAGGTTTAGGGTTAAAAATTATATACGTAGAGTTAGATAATGTTAAAATTGACCTCTCAACCCACCCAAGTTGCACGCTACTCTGGATTGCTCTTCTTATCAACATATCTAATTTACGAGAAATGGAAGCTAGAATGCATTCTTTTCCAAAGAGTCCGGAGAAGGTAAAAGTAAACAATGCAATGGTGGTAGCTGAATTGAAAACTTATTTTTGTATTTATCAGGAGTGTTTGTTTATAAACCGTGTGGAAAATTTTCTAATTGAGGGAGTTTGTTGGGCCGAGGTACGGTACCATCAGTCGAAGAGTTTTCTCCACATTTATGTAGCTACACGCCTCATTAGTACTTTCTGGTCTCTGTATGTATGTGTCTGTATGTGGGTGCACGCGTATGTGAGTGGATAGTTATAACCATATCTGCAGAATTGTGTAGGTCTCGACTATGGTTTGGCATATCAGCTTACGCCCCTCCAATCCCCGCCCGGGAAAAAAAAAAAGATAAAAGAAAAGAAACCACCCAGACCTAACCTACCTCCCCCCCCCTCCCACGGGCCAGGAAGGGGGAAAGCAGAGGCAGATTGACCCTGCTTGTTGCAGTTGCCTAATAAGTTTTAACTCTTAGTTATGAACTTGGAAACAGTTGAAAGAAGACTTAGTAAGCTAAGCACATAATTCATGTGGTTAGTTAGTAGTTAGGGTGGTTTAGTAATGGAATTGTATTCGTTCTGCCCCCTGTTGTGCATGACCTGTGTTTGCTGGAGAGAATGGACTTTGACTATGGCTCTGGTGTATCCTCTTAGGCAAGAGTTAGGTAGTCCCGTCTATCATATGCATGGTCAACCAACTTGTTTTCTTTATGAATAAACCAAACCCCTAACTAGGAAAAATATTTACATCGTTAACATTTGACAGTAACAATTATTCCATTAATGCAATTTTAGAAGTGTTTTTTCATAAAAGATATAAAATATTTTGAAAAAGATGGAAAAAAAATCCAAATAATTTGGCTTTGCCAAAGACAAGACTTTTTTCCTTTTTTTTTCCGAGCACTATTATAGGTGAGGAGATGATAAAATTTGAACTCGCGATCTTAGAATTTAACAACGGAGATGACAAAATGACGAGATTTGAACTCACGACCTTAGGGTTTAATGGCGGAGATGACAAGATGATGAGGTTTGAACTCGCAATATTAGAATTTAAAAGCGGAGATGACGAGATTTGAACTCGCAATCTTAATCTCGCTTGCACTTGTGGGCTCACATGGCCTCTACAGAGGAGTAAAAAGATGTCACTCTTAGAAAAAAGGTTGGAACTTAATAAAGACAATAGCATTGTTGCATTCATCGTGTAAACATTAAAAACATCTCAAATTCTAAATTAAATTTTGAGTATAAATATATTAAAAATAAATTAAATTTTTTTATTTAAATTCATACTAAAAAAATTAATTTTTTATTTAAATTAAGGGATATTTATCTTTTTTTTAAAAATTAATGATGATATTTCATCTTACTTCAAATTGAATCATTTATATCAAAATAATATTTTTATTCAAATTTGAGTCAGTTGGAGGGGACATTCACTGTGTGCGAGAGAGAGAGAGAGAGAGTCGGTATATGTAGACATTCTCTAGTAAATAGCAATCCGGTCACACAAAGAAAGAAATAAAAAATCGAGAAAGGAATAAAGGAAGCAAGAGTATACCCCCTGAACTATAAAGCTCGTCTATAGAATTTCAATCTACGAACTTCTTGACGCACACAGAGGCAACCAAAGAAGGAGAAGGAGAAGAAGAAACAAGTATTTCAAAAGAGGAACAACAAAAACAATGGCGACCAAAGGGTTGGTCCTTTTTGTTCAAACTCTTTGGGTGGCTTCGATGATGATGATGATGATAAATGCGTCATTTGGGCATGTTGATGTTGGTGCTGTGGAACTCTCACATAGTTCATTATCGCTATCATCATCATCATCATCGTCAATCATGGCAATGTTTGTTTTGGGAGATTCCTCTGTTGATTGCGGAGACAATACTCTGCTCTACCCTCTATTCCGCCATAACTTCTCTCTACATCCATGTAATGGTTCTGATACCACTCTTCTTCCTCAGCTTCTTGGTACCTCTCCCTCTCTCTCTCTCAAGATTTATTGAAAGAAATTTCTTGATTGATTTCTTGGTTTCGTTCAATCTCTTAAGTTGGTCTTGAAATTTATGTTTAGGAAGTTGGTTGGTTTTTTTGTTTCCATATTTGGTGTGGGTGGAGTTGGGCTACTTGGAACTGCACATTATTAGCCTGAAATTGAATCTCTTAATGACCATTCTCTGCTGAACCCATCTCTTGATTTCAGTTTTGAACCCAAAAGATGACTTATTTTCCCCTCTCTCTCTCTCTCTCTCTCTCTCTCATGGACATTTGTTGGTCTAGCCAAATTGTGCGTGGCCATATTTGCTCTCTATGGACTTCCGACAGCATGTCCCAAGAAAACAATCGTCCAATATAGTGTCTATGCAATAGTAAAGGCTTTAGCTTGTTCATTTGGATAAAAAATATGTAAAACGGTGAAGGTTTTTCCTTTTGTTCTTTTGGACCAAAGAAAGTGTAAAATATATGATTTACGTGCCAGTTTTTTGACAGCATATATAGTTTCTATTACATCTAATCTAATTGAAGTCATTCTCCAAAGCCTGGTGACCTCCAGTCTTCCCTTCATTCCGTATGCTACGTCTTGGATTCGAATCTCGGTTGACTGGGAAAAAATGGAAAAATTGTAGCCAATCTTACCTATGAAGCTAAAAGATTCCGATCTTCTCAAATTCAGATTTTGCCAATTTGGTTCAAGTGTATTCTATCAACTTGGTCTCACTAGATGTCAGGTGGATTCATCAAAACAGAATTCCATGAACCGAGACCACCAATGAGACTCAATTGAAATCGTTGGTCAAAGGTTGAAGTTGATCAAATTTGACAAAAATGTTGAACTGAGGATTATTTTTTTCTGTTTAACTAAAGATGATATATTACAGTGACAACAATGAAAATATTTTTGGGTTGATGCAGCTGAAAAGATGAGCTTGCCATATGCCACTCCATTCTACAGTCAGAATGGAACAATCCAAGTGCTACTGCAAGGCATTAACTTTGGTTCAGCATTAGCTACAATCATAAACCCCAAAAGGCAAAGCCACCAGTCCCTTAACCAACAGCTCCGCCAGGCGTTTGAGACAGTTCAGCTATTAGAGCTTCTGCTTGGACAAGATAGTGCCAACCATTTCATCCAGTCTTCTCTTTTCTACCTCTCTTTTGGTAAAGATGACTACATAAGGCACTTCCTTGATAATTCATCTGGCATAAGTCTCAAGTACAATGGTCAATCCTTTGCTAAGATTTTAGTTAACCAGATGGGAAATGCTATACGGGACCTCTATGACGTGAATGTGAGGAAGATTGTGTGCTTGGGAATATTGCCTTTGGGATGTGCACCGCGTATACTGTGGGAGAGGCATAATGACACGATTGGAGCTGGTAACAGGGGTTGTGAGGATGAGATCAACAAGCTAGTTTTGCAGTACAACACAATGCTAGAAGAGCAGATTATTGATCTTAATGCAGAGTTGTCTGGTGCACATATAATTTTCTGTGATGTATACCGGGGCATCATGGAAATCATCACTAACCCTGAAGTCTATGGTAGGACCCTTTCACTACTCTCTCGCTGATTATTTCGAAGAAACACATTTATCTCTCTGAGGGTTGTGAATTTAATGTCTATATGACTTGCTTTGCTTGGATATCTTGTACTCATTCTGGAACTGATGAAATCCATCTTTTACTTTTATTTAAAAACTTGTTTGATTTTATTTTGATGTGTTAATCAATGTCATTAGCAACAATTTAACAAAAGATCGAAATTATCAATGATTTATTAATCTGGCTCTAACGGGTACTATTTTTATTTTTATTTTTTTTTCTATTGATTTATCTGTCTGAATCTTGCTCTACTGCACCAACTTGTATTCCATGTCAAATTGATCATTGACCTTATGTGTCCATTGTCGCAAATATGCAGGATTTGAGGATGTGAGGAATGCCTGTTGTGGTCTTGGTACATATGGGGGAGAGAGTGGGTGCCTCTCCACAGACATGGCCTGCGACCAAGCTTCAACTCATCTCTGGTGGGATTTATACAACCCTTCCCAAGCTGTCAACTCCTTGCTAGCCGACTCGGCCTGGTCTGGCCAACGAATACCCGCCATTTGCCGCCCTTTTACTGTCCAAAAACTGGTATCTTATAAATGATATGCATCCATTACACTGCCACATGGTACCTGCTAAACATTTGGATGATTGTATGCAATTCCATTACGAGTTGGATGTGTGATTAGGATCGTTCTTAATTAAAGAAACTTTATATTTTACATAAAATTGCTCCAACTTAATAAACTTCCAATGGTATTAAAACATTATTCACTAACTTGTGACTAAGGATAGTCTCTTTACAATGAAAAATACTTTTTCAATATCATACTTATACTTTTCAATTAATAAAAATACACCATATGCATAATTTTTTTAATTAATAGTTAAAAATTATTTAATTTAAAATTAATAATTGTATCGACATTAAGTATGACATTCCAAGTCTAAAATACTAATAAATAAAAATGTAGCATCCCAAGACAAAGGTAGTAATAAATGTGGGTATGTTTAAACAGGTTGCAGGGACCACCACGCTGCTACTGCTAGTAAAAAGAAAACAACAATCGTGACCATTAAAATATTTAAAATAATGTCAGACAAAGATATAATTTTAACAGATGAGATAGCTGCCAAGTGCCTTCCTGTTTATTTTAATTTTATAATATAAAATATTACAAATTTTAATAAATTTACTTGACAGTCTCCCATAAACATCAAAAAAAAATTTAAAATTATTTGTATTAAAATTTTATTATTTTTTACTTACATTATACCGTATATTTATACACGAATTACTCCCAATAATAAAACTTCTGCCATCTTGTACCATGTGACTACAAAACCATCTCTTCTCTCCGTCCAAAACCCTAATAATCTCTCTCTCAATTGGCCATCAAAAAATGGCCACCCACTCCCACCCACTTCACTCTATCTCTCTCACCCTCAGAACCCCAAGACTCCTCCGATCAAAACCCACCACGCTCCTCACTATCACCTGCAAATCCAACCAACCCCTCAACCGTAAGCTCCGAGCTGCCGTGATCGGTGGCGGCCCCGCCGGCTCCTCTGCCGCGGAAGCGCTCGCCTCCGGCGGCGTCGAAACGTTCCTCTTTGAACGCTGCCCGGAAGCCGCCAAGCCATGCGGTGGGGCCATCCCCCTCTGCATGATCGACGAGTTCTCGATCCCAGTCGGCCTCATAGATCGCAAAGTGACTCAAATGAAAATCATCTCACCCTCCAATCTCACTGTAGATTTCGGCAAAACCCTTAAACCCCATGAGTTCATCTCCATGCTTCGCCGCGAAGTTCTCGACTCCTTCCTCCGCCGCCGTGCCGAGTCCAGTGGCGCCACCCTCCTCAAAGCTCTCGTCACCAACCTCGAGGTACCCACTTCGTCAAACGCACCATACACCATTCACTATACGATGAACAACTCTAAACAAACCCTAGCTGTCGATATTATCGTCGGTGCCGACGGAGCTAACAGCCGAGTCGCCAAGTCCATTAACGCCGGCGACTATGCTTGTGCCATTGCCTTCCAAGAAAGAATCCAGTTGCCGGATGAAAAAATGGAGTATTATCAAAACCTCGCCGAGATGTACGTCGGAAATGACGTTTCACCGGACTTTTATGCATGGGTTTTCCCAAAATGTGACCACGTGGCTGTGGGGACTGGGACAGTATGCTCGAAACAAAATATTAAAATGTTTCAACGTGGTATCCGAGCTCGAGTTAAACCAAAGATCGAGGGTGGGAGAGTAATTAAAGTGGAGGCCCACCCGATCCCTGAGCACCCGCGTCCAATTAGGGTGAGGGATCGGGTGGCCCTAGTGGGGGATGCAGCGGGGTATGTGACCAAATGTTCCGGGGAGGGGATATATTTTGCAGCGAAGAGTGGTCGAATGTGTGGTGAGGCGATAGTGAGGGCGTCGGAGGGAGGGGAGAGAATGATCGGCGAGGATGATTTGAAGAGAGAGTATTTGAGGGAGTGGGATAAGAAGTATATTACAACATTTAGGTTTTTGGACTTGTTGCAAAGGGTGTTTTATGGTAGTAATGCTGGTAGGGAGGCATTGGTTGAGTTGTGTGGGGATGAGTATGTGCAAAGAATGACATTTGAGAGCTATTTGTATAAGAAATTGGCTGATGGGAATAGGTGGGAGGATGCTAAAATGTTGGTGAATACAATTGGGAGTTTGATTAGGTGTAAGCTAGTGGGGAGAGAGATGGAAGTCTTTGATCAAAGAGTTCTCGCACAATTATTGTGATGTGCGGAGCAATCAGTTTGTGCAAATAATTAGGTTTTATCCCCCTATGTCTCTCTCTGCTAATCCGTTTCAATTAGGACCATACTTGGTAGTGAACTATTGTAATGGAGAGTTTTGTCTATTTGTTTGAGACTGCTTTCAAACCACTTATATGGAGCAGTCTCGTAGAATCGTTCTGTTATTGACTATTGAGTGCACAAAACTTTTATCAATGCGGTACTTGAGAAGATCGGATGTTTGTTGTTTTATCCCGTTACAGAGAAATTATTTCTGTAATTCGAACCCTCGATATCATAATGTATCACGCCAATGCCAAGGCCAACCCTCTTGTCATCCATTATAAATGCAGGATACAAATGGGCGTCCATCTTCCTTTCAGCTCCCAACCCATATTTTGATTGTTTCTCACTTCAAATGGTTAAAGCGGTCCATTCCTTGCTCTGGCATATGCCCAATTGAATCTTGCCTTCATAATCATCCTTTTGACCGATGCCATGGCTCAAGTTGCCTTCATAATCTGGTATGATTGTTCACATTCATGAATTTGCGTTGTAGGCACGAGCACATCCAGGTGTTTATTACGTTTTGTAGCTACTAAGACCAAAGAAAATGTATTTAGGATGGTTGTTAGGCCATTTTCAGTCTTAACTTAAATTGAATCAACATTTGAATAAAAAACTTGATTTAAAAATACTTTTAAGGCAAAACTCAAATTTCAAAGAGAATAAACTCGAATTAAAAGAAGTGTAAAATATACCCATTAAGTATTTTAAAAAATGTGAAATCTGACAATTAAAAATTTGATTTGAGACTCTTCTGAATCGAGTAAAAATTTACATAGTATGAGTTTCAATAAAAGATAAGTTCATTTTTACTCAAACTTTAAGTTCGAGTAAGAATTGAAGATGTTATTAGGTATGAACAAACATAAGCAAAACAAGTCAGATGTTGAATCTCATCGATGGAATGGTGAATTGCACAAAGGATAAATAGTCGTTATCAGTTGGGCAAACATTATGTATCATACAACCTGTAATCTTTGAACTATAGCAAGCAAGTCAGATCTACTCTTCTAGGTTACTAAAGGCCTGTAGGCACAATATTGTGAAGAACCAATACATTCTCATGTTGATATTAACAGAGACATAACACAGAAGAGACCAACAGAGGCGCAGAACTAGATCTGCATCAGGGAAGTGTATCCCAGAGCATCAAGATAAGCAGCCATGGCTTTGTTGTTCCAAATTTGTCAGGCTGGATTGCGTGTGCGTGTGCGTGTGTGAGAGAGAGAGGATTCTACCTGAAACTCAGGCGTCATGAAGGGCAATATGATTGAATCATCTCCTTGGATATGGACCCCATCATTCTGGTGGCATAGGTTGTACTGAAGCAGACAATCGTGACAATATTAACCGTTAATTTAAAAAAAAAAAAATCAAGTTTTAGTATGATTTCTGGACTGAGGAGACGAGCGTACTCCTAGTCAGAAAAACAAAATTACTCATTTTTTCAGCTATGAGAAACCACAACATAATGGAAGTTGCATCTGCTTATGCATGCCATTTCAAACAATACAGGTTAAGCTATACAGATAGTTTAAGAGTGCTAGAATTTACATCAGTTATTTTATTCATCTTAGCGTTGAGTTCATTCCAAGATCAAATGAAATGAATTCATTCCTTTTTAATAGAGTGAGAAGGAAAAGAAAATCAGAGAATTAATAAATAGAGGGACGCTGAAAAAAAATTGAATAATACCTGATTCAGAACATGGTAAACGATAAAGTGGTGAGGGCATTTCCTGGCAAAATTATCCAGCTCTTCCTGCAAAGATACAATTCAATTAGGATTTCTTTACATGTTGGTTACCAGTCTAAATCATGAACTTATGATCCTTTTGACACCAGTTTTCAATGTCTATATTATATAGTCACGTCTAATTGTTGCACATCCTTTAAACTCCATCTCATTAAATCTTCCAAACAACATTAAGGGCAAACTTCGCTTTACCTCATTGTTGTTTACTCATTCACATACACGATGGATGATCTATATAGCGATTCTTTGTTTCAGATAAACTAGACACAGCAACACATATCAAGAATCTCAATAACAGTGAAAATTTTGCTATACAAAAATGATGCTGCAAATACAAATGAATATACTCCGCTCCTAAGTGCAACTAAACCATGAAACACAATTTTAAAGGTGTGATCTGAGAAGCTCCTAAATGCACTCACTCACTAAGATGACCACAAACTTAGGACTCAACCGGCAACTATGTTTGGTCCTCGTAGCTGATGAGAAAAACATAGCAATGCCTAATTGCAATCATTATTACAACTACCGAGTACAGTTGAAGGCCCTGTTGCTAATGAGCTTGGTCTTTAGTTCATGATTGCATGAATGCAATAAATTGCTTGATTTACTTTAATCATTTCATAGATATTGTCAATAAATTTATGTATAAGAACAACACATAATCAGAATTACGAATTGACTATAATAAATAAGTGAAAATTGAAGTGGTGTATCTTTTGTCTACATTCAAAAGCATAATCAAAAAGTAGAAGTCTTTCAAAATCATATACCTGGATGGCATGCTGAAAATGGTCCCCAATAAGAATGTTGTATCTAGGTCGACAACTAGCAATTGAATTTGCTCAAGCCTCCATCACCAATAATCTCCACAGCTGCACACACCATCCTTAAAATGATGGAATCTTTTTACATCTCTAACAATGATCTCCCTTTTCATTATTTTAGATATAAACTTAGTTGCATTATGGCAATCCACACAAACCCTCAAGTTCTTCATTATCCTCAACACATCCCCTTCCTTCGTGTTTAAGATACCGAATGCAATTGCTAGTCTTTCACTGTGCCCACATAACATGTCCTCCTTTGATTCCTCATCAACTTTTTGCAATACAGAACTTGTCTCAGCAATGTACCCCTCTTTTATCATCTTCTCTTTTAGCTCCTTCAGAAATTCATATATCTCCGTAGACCTTGGATGTGAGTGATCAAACACAAGAAAACTATGAATTTGCCCTCCAATTTCAATTGAACTCCACCCAGGTGACTTTGCCAATTTTCTCTCTTTCACCAAGTGCCTCATCTTGGCTACCTGGTCCCATTTCCCAGCAGTGGCATAGATATTTGACATGAGCACATACCATCCAGCATTTATGGGTTCCAGTCTCAAAATTTCCTCCACAATTCTTTCAGCCATCTCGACATTTCTATGGATCTTGCATGCATTTAGCAAGCCACCCCATATGCTACAATCAGGCTTTATCACCATTTTCCTCACAAGTTCTTCAGCTTCATCAAGCCTCCCGGCCCTGCCAAGCATGTCCACAATGCAACTATAATGCTCCAAAACCGGCTTTATGTGGTACTCCATAGACATTTTGTTAAAGTACTGCCAACCCTTTTCAACCATTCCCCTGTGGCTAAAACCTGCCAAGATCCCAACAAAAGTCACTGCATCAGGTCTTATTCCAACACCGATCATGCGAAGGAAGAGTGATTCAGCCAAGTGGGCAAGGCCATGCATCCCAGAGCCACATATGATGGCTGTCCAAGTGACAAGATCCCTTTGTGGCATTTGCTCAAAAACTCGTTGAGCCTCATTGATGCTACCACATCTAGCATACATATTTATTAGAGCTGCACCTAAGTAGACATTAATTTCCATCCGGACCCTTACTAGTTGTTCATGTACCCACCTTCCCTGTTGCAAAGCACCCAAAGAAGCACATGCCTGGAGGATACCAACCAGTGTTACTGCATCAGTTGGTAATCCTGAGGCCAGCATATGATTAAATAGGGACAAAGCCTTGTTAAACTCATCATTCAATACATACCTGGAAGGCAGTGATGATTAACACATGTTAGATGAAAGTTACCGATTTACAAAAGGTTTTATATTACAGAAAGTTATTAAAAAAAGATGGGCGCAAGTGCTATATGTAGTATACCATCTTATTTATACAGAAGTTGTACATTGTCCACTGTGTAAGATGCATTGGCGGAATCCAATGTTCCAGGAAAAAGTTGCAGAATCAGTGAAAAGGAAGAAACTTATATAATCCTAGCAGTGATTTTTCTGACTGTCGTTTAACTATATTGGCGTGCCAAAATCAATAACATGACAACTATTCAATTCATTATAACTGCCATAGGATTTTTCTGGCCGACGCCATCTAACTATATATCGAACATAGACTATATTCCATGTAGGACTTTTTATGAAACAATGCAACCCAGGTGATGGATTTCCCTTTCTCCCCTACAACACCAAACCTACTTTCATTCTAAAATAAACAACCACTACCATGACAACAAATATAGCAAAGTAATCGCCACATCTTTCTGCAATGATAACTCCTGTTAAAAAATTATATTTTGTGAAACATTTTCCTAAGCTCATGACGAAATATATGAAAGCAACGTCCAAGAAAATACAATTAGCCAATCTTATATGATTAAAAAAACCATCATTACAACAGACCATGCTTATTAAATCCAACGAAACCAAATCAAAAACTACTAACAACCAATCATACTAACCCGGTAATCATGGCATTATAGCTCGCGGTCCCTCTGTTTTTCAATCCATCAAACACCTTCTCTGCCAACTTCAATTCCCCACTCTTCACATACATGTCAATAAGTGCAGTTGCAACAAACATGTTAGACTCATATCTCCCAGCAACAATATCGCCATGAACTCTCCGCCCATCATGCATTGATTTTAAACCAGCACAAGCCGGCAAAACAAACGTAAACGTGAACTCATTGGACTTATACCCACCATCAACCATACTATAATAAAGATCAATAGCTTCCTTATAAAACCCATTTCTCGCATGCCCTTTAATGGTCTCATTCCAAAGAAAAACAGGCGGGTTTTTCATCATTTTCATGAGAATTATCACAGCAAAGTGAATGTGATCAAGATTGAGGTAAGCGTGGGCTAGACGGGTTAACAAAAAAACGTTGTTAAAGAAGTGAGACTTGAAAATGTTGGCATGAAGTTGACGAAGATCGTTGAAGGAGAGGCATTGTTTGAGGTGGAAGAGAAGATTGTGGAGGCCTTTTGGATTTGGGGGGGTTGGTTTTGTGGGAGTGTATGTAGTTTGAAGTAGCTTGTGTTGAGATGAAGTGTGGAATTTAGAGGATTGGTAGAGCAATGATGTCTTGCAAATTCTTGAGACTCTCATTTAACAACTGCTTAAACACTAGAGTGAACTGAAAATAAACGACAGGTCCTGCTTCTAAGTTGATGAAACTATGGAGTTTGATTCTCCCTGGTGTTTGTTCTAGTTGGCAGTGCATTGTGCTAGCTGCCTGTGCTGCCCCTAAATCTTGGACATTTTGACGCACATTAGAACCCCTTCATGAAATCAAATAGCCGTCCTTTTCCATAATATCAAAAATTAGAAATTGTTCGTGCCTGAAGGAATAACAAAAAAAATTGTCAACCATAAATATATTTATAATTAATCAAAGGAATTAATTAAAAAATCAAAATA